AGATTGACAAGTCCGTTGCAGTTTGCAGACATTGTAAATCTGAGTTAAAATACTCTGGAAACGAACAGATGAATATTTCGCAATTTTTCAGAGAGCACGTCACAATATAAACTATACTAAAATTTACAGAATAGAATCATTAATAATCGAATCGAATCAAATTTCATTGTTAATCGAATCGAATCGTTCTGATTTGCAAAAATCGTTTTTGAATCGAATCAAAAACCTCTGAATCGTGAATCGAATCGATTCGCTGTCTACCCAAAGATTCACAGCCCTAGTGAAAAGCCAAATGTGTGAATTGTGCATGTAGCCTCAATGTTACACTGTACTGATAATATCTTTAATAGGTACAGTGGATATGAAAAGTGTACACACCCCTGTCTTTTCCCACCTTTAATGTGACCTATAACCGGTACAATTCAATTGAAAAACAATTAAATCTGTTAGGGGGGGGAAATATAAAAAACGTTTAGTAAGCTGGTTGCATAAGTGTCACACCCTTAAACTAATACTTTGTTGAAGCACCTTTTAATTTAGACAGCATTCAGTCTTTTTGGATAGGAGGCTCAGCATGCCACATCTTGACTTGGCAATATTTGCCCCCTCTTCCTTGTAAAAGCGCTCCATCTCTGTCAGATTGCTAGGGCATCTCTTGCGCACACAGCCCTCCTCAGGTCACCCCACAGACTTTCAGTAGGTCTGGGCTCTGGCTGGATCATTCCAAAACTTTAATTTTCTGCTGGTGAAGCCTGTCTTTTGTTCATTTGGATGTATGTTTGGGGTCACTGTCGTCCTGAAAGGTGAAAGTCATCTTCATCTTTCTAGCAGATACCTGCAGGTTTTGGGCCAAAATTGACTGGTATTTGGAACAGTTCATAATTCCCTCCACCTTGACTAAAGCCCTAGTTCCAGCTGAAGAAAAACAGCCCCAAAGCATGATGCTGCCACACCAGGCTTCACTGTGGGCATGGTGTTCTTTTGGTGATGCACAGTGTTTTGCTCCAAACATATCTTTTGGAATTTTGGCTTGGTTTCATAAAGCCATAATACATTTTCCCACATGCTTTTGGGAGAGTATTTTTGCTAAATTTAGCCAGGCCTGGATGTTTTTCTTTTTAAGAAAAGGCTTCCATCTTGTGATCCTACCCCATAGTCCAGACATATGGAGAATACAGGAGACTGTTGTCACATGTAGTACACAACCAGTACTTGCCAGAAATTCCTGCAGCTCCTTCAGTGTTGCTGTAGGCCTCTTGACAGCCTCGTTTTCATCAATTTTGGAAGGACCTCCAGTTCTCAGTAATGTCACTCGTCCCATTTTTTCCTCCACTCCTTGATGACTGTCTTCACTGTGTCCCATGGTATCTAATGCAGTGGGATTTTTTTGCACACTTCTCCTGACTGATACCTTTCAACAATGAGATCCCTTTGATGCTTTGTAAGCTCTCTGCAAACCATGGCCTTTGCTGTAGGATGCAACTGAGTAAATGTCGGGAAAATCCTACTAGGACAGCTGAACTTTATTTGAGGTTAATCAGAGTCACTTTAATTGAAGGCAGGTGTGAACCCAAAAAGACTGAATGCTGTAATTAAATCAAAAGGTGTTTCAACAAAGCATTAGTTTAAGGGTGCAACACTTTTTTTTTTTTTTTTTTTTTACATTTATTCCTCTAACATTTGTTCATTTTTCAATTGAATTGTACAGGTTATAGATCACATTAAAGGTGGGAAAAGTTTTGAAATGATTTATTGTGGTCTCTTTTTCATCACAAAATCCTGGAATTTTAACAGGGGTGTGTGCACTTTTTAATATCCACTGTGCATGGCCTTTAGTCTTTGGGCTCCACAGCCTGAGAGGAGTAACTCTCCCCATTGTTAACTGCTGACTGAACTGTGGTGTGCGTTCTAGCCACCAGGGAGCAGCACATGACATGAAGCACCAAACTCCAAAGCCTGGTTCATCCTTCACTTTTCTGTGTACGTGCACAGTCATGCGAGTGGACTCTTGTGTACATACTACATTTGTTACAGCATAAAATTAGCTGGGACACCCCCTTGCCTGGCGATTTTTTATTACCAAGATTTCAAAATGCTTGAATAACATTGCTTTTGAAAATACTGAATACTGTGGTACCTCTTCATCTCCTCATACAGCTGATCACCATTACCTCTACAACAGCTGTTCTTCTGCTCTTTCTTCGTTGGCCGCTGCTCTGTGATACTCAGTACTGCCACCTACTGGAAACACCTAATCAATTTTCTAGCACAAGCTCAGTCTATGCGCATCAACACATAATTTTATGTCCACTGGACATAAAAATCTAGGCTTCACATGTACAGTATGCTGGACACCCCGATGGTGAAATTTACGTCACTCCCCCTGTGCATGGACCGTAATGGTGCACAAAACAAAGAAGTAAGAATTGACCCTAAGGGGCTCTTGGTGCTGCTCTGTTCCAGGCCTGTATTATGTTTTTCTGACTTTCTCCTTTGCCCCATACACACGTTTGTTTCCCTTCGTCTGCAGTACGCTTCAAATAAAATGACCCGCGTCATTTCCAAATTGAGTGAGATTACGGCAATGTCATTAAATGATATATGTAGTGGCATATTCGCAGCTCTGTAATTCTTTAGCACTGGAGTAGTAGGACGACAGGCTTGGCTTATGGGTGGGTCAATGAGGCTGCAGAACAGCGCCTCACGGTGGATATTAAGTGCTTTTATCGACACCACTTGCTGGTGTTGCTGGGGAATTTCTGGCTTATTACACTCAGTAACAGTTACTAAACATTGCAGTGTCAGAACAGGCCATGAGGAATACTCAGCCCAGAGCTCTGTTGTTGACTCACTCATGGCACAATGTGATCCAGGGACCTATATTCCTTTGGTCAAAGTTGCCCTGTGAATAACAAGCACAATACTTCCATGGAGGGGCCACATTGCAAAGGTTCAGTATTGTTCCCTTTGGTCCTGCACAGGCCGCTTCAGGTGAGCCTTGCAGTGATTGCTGATTTGCTCCTTTGTCCTACATCTTTTTCCTTCCCTGCAGCTCCTCCCATCCCTGGACATTCATGCTTGGACTGAAGAGCATGTGGTTCGTATCTGACGCGTTCTTCATATAATCAGGTTTGGCTCTCCAAGGCCAATCTTTGTCAATCTTTAGTATCCTAATATAACAATGTTAGGCCTCTTGAGATGATTGCATTTTAGCTTAGCCTTACTATCATTAGTAATAATAATAAATTGATCATTGAGTTTGCTTTTGATTTCCTCATTGTTTTATCCAACAGCATTTCTGGATGCAGCAAATTCTAAGTTCAGGTGGGTCATTGGCAGCATCTTTTCATGCAGTGCAATGTGGTGATACAATGAGTAAGATTCTGAAAGATTTATAAAGTTGCATATTTGAAAAGCTTATAGGATGCAATGCATTTATTGCAATGAACTGCTTTCACTAGAGCAGACAATATAGATGTACTTATGCACGTTTGACAATGGAGCTCATTGTGTCTGCTTGTTTCGCCGTGGCTGCAGACAACTCAGTGGGTGATGTGCAGCTCTACGCAGACCTGTTTAAGTCGAACCACATCACTGGCAGACGGCTGCTGCTGCTGACAGAGGCTGACATGAAGGACATAGGCATCAGGTCCAAGGGGCACATCATTCACCTCAAGGTACCATCTGGGCTCTGCTCTCCACCTGACAGAGTCCAGCCGTAACAGGGACTTCCCAGTCCTGGCTCTGCACGCACCACTTCTGGTTTGTCTCTGTGTGATGTTTGGTGTATTTTGCTTTGATTTAAGCTGTATTCAAATTAAGTGTAGGAGCTTGCTATAATTTAATTAAAATTAGCAAATGAATAACACCAAAACAAACTACTGACACAAATGTTTAATGGCTTGTTTCTTTTATAAATGAATAAAATTGATGGAAAATCTATTTTCATAGCATAAAGCCTTTAATTTCAAACGTTTCGCGCTTAACCTCTAACAATGAGCAGAAATGATTACACAGACACCTCTTCACCATTACAGTTCCTTGGCTATTATCAGCTAAATGTTAAAACATGTTAGAACGAGACTTGACACTTGTTCACTTTAAAAGGTTTAGAATGAAAAGCTTCTATTCAGTCAGTCATCTCAAGCATCAGGTACATTGGTCTGGCGGAGCACTAAGATGTTATAGACCACCAGACACAATCGTCCATACTTATCCACAATACCTGCAATAAACTGGTCTTTTGTTTGAGTGCAGGCTTTTGAGGTTGACCAGACACGTAAGGAACTGCTCTCAGATGCATTGTGTTCACACCTATCCCTGCCCCCTAGACCATATGTAATAATAATGTAAGAACATTTTCTCCGCAGTCCGAAATCGAGAAGTTAACCAACGACTACTTGGCAATTTTCCATTTCCCCCCATTAATGAAGGTAAGGATTTGTCATTTTTATTTAAAAGAACATGCATGTTTACCTGTAGCAAATGGATGAAAATGCCTTTTAACGTGTCATTATTTGTGGTCTTTTCACTGGCAGGATGAGGAGGAAGAGGAATATGAAGAAAAGGTCATAAACTTGGAGCTGGTTTTTGGATACCACTGGAAACCTGGAAGTGGCCCCCAGGTAGCGTGTGGCTGGTGGCAGGGTGGCAAAGACGACATTTCTGCTGAACTTCTCAAAGCTAATCGATGCGAGGTCATATTCTGTTAAAATGGGCAAAAACGTTAAAGCCGTCACATGTTCCTGTCTTGTGCGCCGCCCGACACCCCCAGCT